TCGTAGGTGTCAGACATGGAAGCACGCGTGCGTGAGGGGCCGACCGGCGGCGATCGGCGGCGGCGATCGGCGGAGGCGATCGGCGGAGGCACCGGCGGAGGCATCGGCGGAGGCATCGGCGGAGGCACCGGCGGACCCTGTGGCCCCGCCAAGGGCATCAGAGCCACGATACTTCTCTGAGGACCCGTTGCGGAATCCGCTTGGGAGTGCGTTTCACAAAGACTCCCTCGTTCATCCCATGCCGGCCTTCTCTTTGTATCCTAGGGCACAGGAGCTCGACGAGCGCGAAGCTGGAGAGGCCGATAAAGAGACCACGGCTTCACAGAAGGCGGAAAAGGAGAGCACACAGCGGGGTTTCGTCATCAGCACTGTTGTGGCTGTGGCCCTCGTTATTTCCTTCGGTGTGATAGCCGTAGGCCTAGCTGGTTTTCTACCCGGTCACCTTATTGGGTTTCGCGCCGTCTCTGGCACCGCGGAACTCATTCAAGTGGAGGCTGTGCGGGGTGTTATTATTATTATGCGTTCCACGATATTGCAGCTGCCGGACTTTGCTCACACTATCACTGCAAATTATATGCGCAACCAAACCAGCACGTATACGCCTGACGCGCTTCCCAAGAACTCTCAGTCGTTGCTGTATTCACTATTGAGCGTCCTCTCAACGTTCAAAAATACGATTTCCTTTTTTGAGTTTGTCTACAAAGGCGGTCTCTACGGTGTTGCATCCGAGTTCCTCTGGCCAAGTCCATTACGTAAAGACTTTCTATTGGGGTCTCATAATGATACGGCTGGCATGTCTCCTGTCCTGCTGTATGAGGCTACAAAACTGGATATTGTGTCGCCAAGGCCTTTTGGCGATTGGAACATCTCTAAAACCTTGACGGATAAAGACGGCGTATTTGGACTCATTGTGGATCCCTGGGTGCGAAACAAAAGCTTCCCACAACGCTGGTTTCCATATTCCCTGAATCGCACGGGTTTATATTTTGACTTTGTCATTCCCTTTGAGATTAATGGGAACGCCGGCTTCTGCGAGGTGGGCATGCCGACGCATCGGCTTTTGCGGGAGTCAAGACCACTCATTGCGGCTTTGCGACAGCACGGGCGTGTAATGCTTTTTGATGACAAGCGCGACATTGTCATACTGACCAGTTGGGGAGAGAAGGCGACGTGGTGGAATGGAGAAGACTACCTGAGTTTTGGTTACCTCACGCTGGAGAGTATCAAAGACCCTATCGCCGCCGCGGTTGCACGGCAAGTGGAACTTCATCGACAAGAAATGAATGATCTTGTAAATAACACGGCGGAACTCACCTTTCCGTACGAAAACAGCGCGGTGCGGGCAAGTTTTGCACGGGTCACCGATAAAAATGGATTAAATGTAATGTTGTCTGTGGCTGTTTTGCGCTCCGATTTCTTTTCAGGAATTGTGCGGGCACGCACCATCATTCTTGTTGTGGTTATTGTGATTGTTGTGCTGTCGGCCGTCACCGCCTTCGTGGGGGCCTGCTACCTGGTGAAGCCGCTGGCGCACCTCGTGAAGGCGCTAAAAAAGGCCTCTAACCTGGAGCTCTCTAGCAGTGATAGCGAGACGATGAGCCCCTCACGAATTCTGGAGGTGGGGGAGATACAAGCAGATTATGTAAAACTCCTTCGTCAGCTGCTGACGCTGCGCAAGTTCGTGCCCGAGGCCATCCTCGCCCGCACCAATCTGGGTGATATTCCAGGCGCCACCTCCTCTGTGGCGATACATGAAACCTCCGCCGCTCAGAACAGTCTTTTTTACTCCGAGGCTAGTCGTTCACAGGGTGGGGAAGGCGACCGAGAGGTGAACCGAGATGTCAGGCTTAACAGTGGCGTTTTCAGGGAGCAACTCAACCAGTTTGCGCCGAAGCACTGTACGGTGGTAGCTGTTGAGTTTCAAGCACCACAACAAGTAGAGGACTCCAAGAAGTACATGGCGATCTTCATTACTACAGCGACTGAGCTCTTTGGCTGTATTGAGTTTATTGGGCCCGACAAATTTATTGTAAGCTTTGGCGCACACACGGCGATTCCTTTGCATTCCATGAAAGGCTGTCGATTTGCTTTTGAGTTTTTTGCCAAACTCACGCCTCCGGAACAGGATGCAGTTAATATTGTTGTGGAGTGCAACGAGTTTCTCGTCGGAACCTGTGGCGCGCGCTTGCGTAACGCGCGTGTGTTGTTTGGCACGGAGTACTTATTTGAGCTGACGAGAGCCATGTACGGGGCCCCTTGCCACATCGCAGCCACCTCCGGCGTGGCTTCCCAACTTCAAGGATACCAGGCATATCCCATGGATTGTGTTCTCATCCACTCCACTACGCTGCCGATTGTGCTCTACGAGCTACGCATACTCAAGCTGGACGATGAAAAGCTTCAAGGCGTCGCAAAGCACTTTCGACTCGGATTTTCGGCAATGCGTCAGGGCTATTACAAGCAGGCCATATCGCATTTCCAACGCGTGGAAAGGTCGGTTCCTGAAGTACGACGCCTCATTCGGTTGTGTGCGCAGCGCCGGTTAGCCAAGGACACAGCGCCCTATGTGCGTTGTGTGAACAGTGCATACGAGATCGAAAGCAACACGCAAGATGAGTCCACTAGGGAACTTCAGGAGGAGGTTACAACAAATAAGACAGCTTTCCCGGAGAAGTCACCCTCAACTTGCGACGCGGAAAAAAGGGGATCTTCCGAGGAAGATAGTATGGCCTTGTTTGCAATGTATCAAGCGTCATCCTCCTCGTCGTCCGCAGCGGAGAATTTCCAGTTATGGGAGGAGGGCGGTAACGCCGCGGACGATTTGCCGCTGTTCCTGACAGACATGAATCAGCGAGTATGGACGAGGTCTCTGAAGAAGATCAGCGAGGGCGCCTTCAGTTCCGTGTTCCTGGGAATGTCGGAGGATGGTGTGCAGGTGGCCATCAAATGCATCCCGCGGCGGCGTCGCGACATTATGCAGGAATCTCTAGAGGCGGAAATGAACGTTGCCTCTAAGCTGCGCCACCCGAACATTGTTCAGTATGTGTCCTGCAGCGTGGTTCAGTCTCACCTTGCCATTATCATGGAGTACGTGCCTGGCGGCTCGTTGCATACTGTGATCAAGAACTTTGGGCGGATGAGTCCGTTAGTGGCACGTCGGTTTACGGTGGATATCTTGAACGGCCTTAACTATTTGCATGGTCTTGGCATCGTGCATTGTGATGTGAAGCCGCACAAC